TTCGACTCGTCTCCCAATCGACACCACTCTGACAGGATCAGGGTAGACCTAAAAACAGAGCAGAAGAACCGAAACGTTTTGGCACTTCACAGAAACCAAACTAAAAACGCATTCCAAGAGAACTGGTGGACAGCTTACTTCACCAAACACTGCTCTTAGACCTTTGATTCGCTTGGCTTCAGAAAGCACCGATTCCTTGAACAATACTTCCAATTCATCCTTGATCTGTTTATTCACTATGGCTTCGATCTTTCTTAAATCTTCAGGGTCAACCGGCTTGCCTAATTGAAATTGTGGAAACCGTTAGACAATTATAAGAGACCATCCATATCAATACATAAAAGGCTTATAGGAGAATGTAACGTGGGAAAAATCAAAAATGCAGTTTTTCAGAAAGAACTATTGATCCCTTCTGATCAATATGATCCCCTAGCACTTCCTGAATTCATGGAAAGTGAAGGTTTTGAGATCCAATAAAAAAAAGTAATTTACCGTTTAGGTAACTTAAACTACGGAAACGATACCTTCAGTGCAAAGTTCAACATATGTGTACAAGTATGGTTAGGAGCGATGAGCTTACGTCTCTCATAGTCAGCCTACACGTATAGAAATTGGATATGGTAACAATTCAGATAGTACCAAATATGCGGCATTGTATGATGCAGAGCGATACCTTGCAATCACTTTATTCCCCACAGATACCACTCCAGTTTCTTTAGAGAGATAGCCAGTATGAAGAACAAAACCTCCAAATATTTGGACATTACATACGTTGAATGTACCAACCAAGCCTTCAATAAGCCCGGTGTCGAAAATCTATTGCCAGAAAAAAATGTTAGGGGACACATTTTATGTACATATAGGGAACTGTATCACCAGCTAGACCTTATAAATCTAAATTATATGCAGCTTTAAACTTACTAAAAAAATTGGTTTGCAAATTTCCAGCCAATACGTAAGTTCAACCATGCAGTTCTAATATGTTAGTGTTCATGGTATATATATATACCCAAGATGAACATAAGGAATACTGCAGCTTCATCCGAGCAATAACATATGATCAGAAATGAAAAACAGTCGGAAAACTAAACCTACAAATATAAAATAAAATGATTACCTGGCCACCCTGCTCAGCATAGAAACTAGAAGACGTCAATACTAGTCCAACGTTATCACCAGCAGCTGAACTTTCCAGAAAAGCAGAGCCAGTGTCGATAGCCTTTATTTCACTCTCGTGATCCTGTGGCTATATAAGGTAGGATATTTGCTCAGTGTATGTTTAATTCAAGAAAAATATATTTGCCACTCTGTGCCCTAACTTCTTACTTTCAACCCCAACATACAAATTTTCTGGAATATAAGAACAAACCTGGAACCAAATGATATTTAAAAGAATCATTTGTTGCTAACACACCAGCCTTGTGCAATTTTGATGTAGCATCGGCATCCATAACAATGGAACCACCAGCTTGCTACCAAAAATGACATCAAAAGATCAGTCAATAAATAAATATAAGTTCCATTTTCGACCATAGTCCCACGTAATTCTAACATGTAAAAGAAAAGTTGAAACACCTTATTCTGGACACTTATAGATGTTTCCCTCGCTTCTTCCATGGCTTTGTTGAAACCATCAACATCGACCAGCAACCCTCTTTCTTCAGCCATCAACTGAAGCCCGAGAATGAGAGTTATAAAGAAACGCACAAACTTCCAAATATAACTACGAATAACCTTAGTACCTGAGCCAGATCTAATGGGAAACCATAAGTATCCCATAAGACAAAAGCACCCTGAAAAGAGAAGACGGTTTGTTGAGATGAAAATTCAAACATCATAGATGAAAATACTGCCACATCTAATTAGATACGTACCTCTCCACTCAGTGTATTCCATTGAACTGCCTTTCCATCTTTCTGAAATTTCACAATTCCCTGGCATGAAAAGTTTATATAATCAATCTAAATGTTCTTATATACACCTATATATGACAATAAAAAGTTTATCAAACAAATCATCTTCAGAACACTATTAGGCTTCTACGGCTGGCTTTTTCCCTAACCATCTGCTGTAATCTTCCTTGAGCAACAGTATGTTGAGTTTTTTTTTTCTTTCCTCTTCTCGTTGATGTCCCCTCAATGGGAGTAGTGTCCATGCTTTTCTGTTGTTTGCTGCGTCTTGGAATGACTTGATTGTCTTTCTTAGTCATGACTCTGAAAATAAAAATAAGAGAGATTTATTATAATCAGCTACTAATCCTAACTCTAATATTGTGCTACTACTAATCCTAACTCTACTAATCTGCTACTACTAATCCTAACTCTACTAATCTACTAACTACTACTCCATTATGTACATCCCTTCGCAGTCATCCCTAACACAGAAACTCTCATTATCAAAAGCTTGATTCTCTAAATTTTCATAGTGCTGAATGGATGATGGGAGTGCAACAAACTCAGCTTCTGTCTCCAACTCATGGTATCCCCTTAGTGGCGCCTTCATAACTACACACCAAGGTGATGAGTCATCTTCTCTGGAATAAAACACTTGTTTTGCTTGAGACGACATAATATAGGGATCTTGGTTCACAAGCGTAAAGCCCTTTTCGTCTTTCACACCATGCCCTTTGTTGGCCCACTTACACTTGAAAAGTGGAACCTGGAACATGTGATAATCCAACAATGTCTGCCTTTTGATTAGTATCTCGAGCACTGGAACGACACATGGTGAAAACTTCATAGGACACTTTTCTGTTCTGAGTCTTCCTCTGTACATCATCGGTATTAAATAGATGTCCATTAACTGTATATCCATTATACGTTTGAGCTTCAGTTCTTGGTCCTTTGAGTTACTTGGGATCTAGTGACAAAGAAATAGACAAAAAAGAACTAGTTTTAAGTAAAGTATCACATAAAATTCATAAGTGGTCATAACTGATCATATACCTTCTCTTTAACCCACTGTGTAAACTTTTCCCCATGAAGTATCCACAAAAAAGTTTCATTTCTTCTTCACCGCACATCTTTATCTTGTAACTATCTAAGTGCATACTATATTCAATTCCAACAGTCAATATCATCGATAAAACTTATAGAAAATAGAAAACTAAAGGTGGTGATACTTGCTCAACATATGTAGTGAACATTGATGTGTTCATCAGAATATATTGATGTGCTATCTCCCACTCTTTCTCTGTAAGTGTAACTGATTTAGACTTGTGAAATGGACGACCTTCAAGGATGTCCTCATCTGGTTCAAGATCTTCATTACGTTTTCCATTTTCGCATGTTGGTACAGATTTCTTCAGAAACTCCAAACAGAAGGCCATGCACTCTCCTGCCATGTATCCCTCAGCCATACAAGCTTCTGGTCTAGCACAGTTTAATTACATATGCTTTGAGTGTCTTTATTTTTGGGATGGCTGATCCCTGAGAACAACATCCAGAGGAATCGAGGGATCCAAGGAATCGAGGGATCTGAGGAATTGAGGGATCCGAGGAATCGAGGGGTCCGAGGAATTGAGGGATCAGTGGAATCGAGGGATCCGAGAGCGGTGGCGGAGAGAGATGAGGTTGTTGAGACACATCGTATCATCTCAACGCAGAAACCCTTTTTCAGTGATCGGAGCTCCTTCGCAGTAGCCTTTGTTTCATCCAAAAACCTTTGTTTCATCCAAAACCTGGATCGCGACGAAGTAAGGCGATGCGTCGGTTGAGGTCAGACGGGGAAGACGCGAGCACACGGAGAATACGAGGCGAGAAAAAAAGAGAGAAAAAATGAAAATTAAAAAGTAACAAATAAAAAGGCAAATAACCTGTGTGTGACACGTGTCTAGGAAACCTACTTAAAAATCGTTCACCGAAAACCCAACCAA